CAATTTATTGTGAGAACGTTTATAATCTTTTAAAAAATTAAATTTATAATAGTTGTTTTAATATTTTATAGAAAAACTAATGTACAAATATTTTTATTTGAAGGTATTGTGCAGGAACGAAATGCAATATCGGCTGTAATTTAAATTTAAAATGAGAAATAAATTCTTTGACGGAAATCATACATTTTTTATAATTATTTGTAAAGATGGACGAATGCTGCTAGATGTAAGTAGATGGAATATATATTTGTTAAATTCTCTAATTAAATCAACTTTTTTTTAGGAAATAATGGAAGGCCCACAATCATATATCTCTTATTTGAATAAAGCAACATGGAACTGGAAATATTTGAAATTTCAAGCTTCTGATATACATGAAATCAATTTAATTACGCAATTAATATATTTGATGTCATTATGAATTTCTTTACAAGAACATGAAATTTTATTTTAATTTCATTTTTAGAACGAACATGTTAGAATTAAAGCTTTGTTAAATTCATTTTATATCTTATAATTATGAAGGCTTAACACAGAATTCATTTTTTTCTATCTCTTTTTTAAACTTTTAATTCATTTGAATCAAACAATGTATTCAAAAATTATACGCAAAATTTTTTAAATAATATGAAAAATTCAAAATAAGCATACGAAAAAAAACAAGAATTTTTTCCATTATATTTGAGATTATTACAAGTATTTAATGACTTGTAAATGAATAAGATTAAATAGTACAATTGTGCAAAAAAAATTTCTTTATAACTTAATATGTTCACGGTATCTATATAGACAAGAATTTTATGCTTTAAAATGAATAAAAGTGCTTATGTACATTTTTACAATAGAAATTATTATAAGAAAAACTATGTTGAAATTAAATAATAAAAAGAAAAATGTTTTAATTGTATTTGAATAGAACTAAGGCGTAAGTGTAAAATTTTATGTAAAATGTTTATACAAAAAAAAAAAAATCTTTTTAAAAAATTTTTTTAATATTTCCATTATAAATTGCATTAAATTGCTTAATTTAAAATGTTCAATTTAAAATGCTTCATTATAATAATTAATATTAATAAAAGTTCTTTATAATGAGAGGTTTTTTTTGTATATTTAAAAAATTCCGCAATGCAGTAAATTCTTTCTTTTTTTTTGCAATATTTACATGCAATCACATAATCAATTAATATTAAGCTTCTGATATATCACTTAAATTTCCTGATTAAAAGAAAATTATAACTATTTTGAATTTAGAATGAAAATTTTTTGTATACTTTAAAGAATTATGTAACAGAAAAAATTATAATATTATGATACTTTAAGAGAAAAATTAGAAAGATTTGTAATAAAAGATTTGTATTTCATGAGCCTTGTTGTGGTTATATACAAATTATGTGATGACATTCATAATGGATAAGCTTCTCATTTTACAGTAGAAGAGAACATAAAAATATTATCACTCTTAAATAAAGATAAACCTGAAGGAGATATTGAAAAAATGTGTTGAAACCTAAATACAACGCAATTAGGAGCAGAAGCATTAAGATGGAAACGAAAATCATTCTCTTAACGTTAAATTATCTCTTTTCATATCCCCTAACGCTATAAAAACTTAATTAAACTTTGATATGAGTGCACATATTATTAGAGGTAGATTGCAAGACAGCAACTTGAATGGTACAGGTACTAGAAAAGTCATATTATTCCCAAATAATCAAAAACGGTCTTAAATTCTTAAAAAATTTCGAAATGCAGTTTAGATATGAGGATCAAAAGATGTTGATAATGTATAATTGAGATTCCAAGCTTCCGAGATCTCAATTTTTTAATTTCATTAAGATTAAAACATTATTAATTTTCAAAAAAGAAAAAATTTCTACGTTAATCTTCTCACTTCCTTTGAATGATATTAATGTCAACTTTATTTTCTACAATACAAATTTTATTTTTTTCTCATATATAGGTACCATATAGGATGATGAGTAGAAATTTTTTTATTATATCATTTTAATAATTTATTTCAATTATAATTTGGTGTTTTTAAACAAACATAATAATAACTTGGTCATATTATTAAATTATTTACAAAAATTTTTGCTAAAAGGAAAAAGAAAAACGAAAAAATTTATTACATATAAATGAAGAATTTTCTAAACTCCTCCATCACTATACTCATAAAAATTTATACTTTTTTCATTGTAAAAATAAAAAAAAAAAAACAAAAAAAATAAAAATATTTTTGTTATTCATAATTTTTATTATTAAAGTCTCTACTCTATATTTTGCCTATTTTTATTCGACAAAATTTCCCGCATTATCATTCTCATTTTCATTATCATAATATATGCGAATTCTCATCTACTTTATTAAATATTAGGTTATAGCATTATGGGTACACATATAAACATACATTTGATTATATACGCGTCCTTATTACTGCCTTAAATTACACAAAATGAGGTGATAAAAAAACAATAAAAAAAAAATTGAAGAAAATATTAGAAAAGGACATAAAAATAAACGAACATGATTTTCAAAAAAAAAAAAAAGAAATAAGAAAAAAATACAACTTACAAACAGATGGGATGAACTTACACAAAAAAAAGGCAAGAAATACAAATTCATTCATTAAAAGACGAAAACAAATTTTACAAATAATTCAAATTTTCCATACATATATATATATATATTCAATAGATTTACTATGGACATGCGTTCTGATTCAATAATTTTACGATATATAAAATTGTTTCTGTAACTGAAGAATAATAAGAACTGTTCATGTAGCTAGTAAGTGTGGTATATTGTGATTTTGTATATGAAAAAACAATAGCAACATTAATTTTCTTCAACTTTCTTATCATGTACAAGTTTCGGTTTCACATAAGAACACTTAGTGCTAACTCAAATGGACACAGTATTCAGTAATTAAAGAAGAAATATGAGTGCCCTCAAATATTCACGGTTCGCGCTGCGATATACATTTGTTAGTATAAAAATATGATTGGCGATTAATATTTCAGTTCCAGTTTCAGTTGGAATTGAAAATTCAAGTTCACAGTTGCCGCACGGCAATTTTGGTGATTACCTGGAATCAATTTTGTTTGATAACTACATGCGGTATATGGCATCCATATAGGTTATCACTTACCAATACAATTTCATATGAATTAAGGATTTTTATGATAATTTTGAGATTAAAAAGAATTTATTCAGCTTTTGATGGCCAAACACAAAAATTTTTAGTTACATAATGTACCGCAATAATCTTTTGAAGGCTAAAAATTTCTTCAATAACTGATAAAAATTTTATTACTAAATATAATGTTGCTGAAATAAAATGAACTCATTTTATGTCCGAAATATGAGGAGAATTTTATACAATAGCAGTTGTTTTATAAATAGTCAGCCATATATCCATACTCTATTTATTATCGTATAACATTTTGAACTTGATCTTGAATTTTGGCTACACACACATAGAGTTTGTATGTTTTATAGGAAAAGGAAGACATGTTATGTGAAATTTATAGCCTTTTTTTTTGTAATATCATAAAATTGTTGCTAAACACATTCATTTTCTATCACGTATTTTATTCTTATATTATGAAATAGAATTTAAATTCAAAATGAATTTTCGAAATTTACACTCATTTTCGATTTTGCAATATTACAAATTAAGAACACCGATTTAGCAATACAATTGAGTACACTACAATTAAATTTGTATGTATGTATGTATAATGTATATTGTATAGAAATTTTTAATGAATTAATAAATAAAATTTTATTTTTGTTATATTTATATATTATACTTAATAATATATTATGTGAGAAATCTTGAATACACTTTAGAAATTGTCAATTTTTTTTAGGTATGTAACGAATTCTCCAAATTTTAGTAGGTGAACATAACATTATTTTGTTCTGTTGCTGATTTTCATATTGTTGCCAGTATTTGTATATAATTATTATCATACCAGAATACATACTTATACATAATGAATCCTATGTAAACATTTTCTCATTTTCGTTTATATTGTTTTTGTTATTCTCAATATTATTCTAATTTTCGGATTCCATAAGGACGACTATATATTAATAATTTAGAGTTGTTTTTGTTATGCTCTTTAATATTATATTTTTTTGATTTGTTTTACTTTCCGTTTTTTTTTTCGTTATTGTTGTTGCTGTTGTTATTATTTAATAATATATTTTAATAAGTTTTCTTGCTCTTCATTTTTGTTATATTTATTATAATCGTATGTATATATGCATATTTTTCTTGTCGAAAATAATTTAAGAACATTTGTTCATCAAATATATAAAACAGTTCTATTCGAAAACTTGTCGGGTGCGGTCGATGAATTTCTCTTTTATAATGTAAAAGATGTTCGTTTCAAAAAATAAAAATTTAAAAAAAAAATAGTATATAATTTTTTTGTTTTTCTCAATTAATTTAAAGAAAAGACACTGAGAAAAAAAAATTAAATTTTTGGAAAATCAAAAAATATTATTATAAAATATAAAGTAATTGTATTTTTGAATTAAAATTTTTAAATAAATTGAAAAGAAAAAAAAGAAAACTTATCAAAATAAATTTTTCAAAAAATTTTAGAAATTCAAATTTAAAATTTGTGCTAATATTATTTCTAGAGTGTTGTACAATTACAAAATTGCTCTTAAAATAAAAAAATTATCAAAATTTTATTTTTTAATATTAGAAAATTTTTTTCAAAATTCTTGAATTTATTCTACAAAAATGTTACATGGTCTTTGATTAATAATTATTTTATAATTTAGGTTTGTGAACTTTGTATAATTCTATAAATTAATCGCAAATGTAAAATTAAATATAAAAATTTGAAAGTGTATTAAATTTTTGAATTAAAGAAATTTGAAAATTTTTAAAACAAGGAAAATCAAATTTTTTTGAAAAATAAAAAAAAAATTAAATTCCATTAAAAAAAAAAATTAAATGATTTATTAAAAATTGATTGATAAAATATTGAAATATATTTAAAATATTATTGTAAAATATTAAATAATTATTCACAAAGTGTTTTTTTAATATTTCAAGGTGTTAAATATAAAAATTTGATTTTGGAAGTGTTAGCAATTTGGGTAGTTCTATAGAATAAATTTTCATTTTAAAATTTTAGAAAAATTTTTTTTAAGTGAATTTTATTTTGAGTTGAAAATTTTATAAATTCTTTTTGTTGAGAATTTTTTTTTTTAATTTTCACCTTTAAGCTTGGTTTTTAGCGGGTGGAGAATCAAAAACCAAAAGTGGTAAGTAGAAAGGATCTATTATTCATATTTTCTTATTTAAAATTTTCTTGAAAGTTAATTACCAAAAATACTTCTAAAATTTTTGTGTTAAAATTTTGTGGATTAAAACTTTTTTTGAAAAATTGCTAAATTACTAAATTTGGTTTTTGCAAAATTGTTCACAAATCTCAGCCTTAATTCCTCTTAAAATTTTAAAATTTATTGCTGGGGCTCTTATTCTATGACCCAAAAATACAAGTTTTTAATTTGACAGCATATTTTTGAATTTTTGATTATATTTCCTTAAACTTCCACTGACATCTTAAATATTAATCAATCATTTCATGTTATCAGAATTAATCATTTTGATTAATATTGTTAAAAGTCTGAAAAAAATTAATAATCTTATATAATAAATAGCAACCGCAAGCATATTTTAAAATACAATTATCATTAAAAACAATACGAGTTTTCGTTTTAAATTTTCTTAAATTATTGCATAAAATTAGGATTAATTATATGTAAATTTTTTCTTTTATCCGCAGAAATATGCAAATTGAAAATATCATTAACGATTTTTTTTTTAAAATGAATCTTACTTATGTTTTTATCTTAATGCAATGCAGGTTTCCTTATCTATTTAGTATGCACATAATATATTTTAATTATTTTATTATATTATATATAAAGAGCAACCAAGGTAGATGAAAAGCATACTAATTATAAATTATGATTTAGCGTGTACAGAGTGTACTACAAATTAAATAGATATCATTTAGTTTTATCTATTATATTTGAAGTTTTTCTAATTGTAGAATATGTGGAAATAATATAGAAGTGTTTACATAGAAATGAAGTTAGTGCATTCAAAATTCATTGCAGAACGATGTTATTTGCGTTACTGATGAAGTGTTATTTGCGTTACTGATGTTATTAAGGGGGTGGCTTAAAACATACGAAGTGTAAGAAATAATGAAAATGGTAGGCAAACAGTATACAAGAACGTCATATATATTGTCGGTACACGGGAACTATTAAGCTCAAATCATATACACTTGTATAGTAATATTGTTTGAAAAAATTGTAGAACCCATGTCTGAAATTAAATTGTTAATGTTTTCAATTCGTATAATGGCTTTCAATCCATGTTAAATAGGAAGACTTTTGTTTCCTTTATAACAACAATAAGGCTGCAACTTATAATGACTTCAGACTTAATTCATTTTCAAAGCGATTGGTAATTAATAAGAAACGTTTTTATGCTATTTTTTTTTGTTTTTGATAATAAGTAATAATTTTTTATGAATAATTTTCCAATTTTTTTTCTTCTTCTTCTAACTAATTAAATTTAACAACTATAACAATATGGCAGAAAAAAAAAATAAAAAAAAATTTTAATTAGTAACAATAAAATAGAAAAAATGAAAAAAATATCATTAAAAACAACGCTAAAATCGTTGATCATTAAAATAATCAATAATTTTTCCCCTTGATACTTTGCCGTCTTTCTAGTTCATTCTTTCTAAGTTTGAGTGCACGGAACATACTCACTCACTTAAAACTTTGTTATATGATGTATACGTATGTATACTATGACAAAAATAGGCTTTTCTAATGTAGGTATAGGAAATTTCATTAAAAGAAGAGCGAAAACAAAATGTAAAAAAAAAATTAAATTAGCATTTCTCTGAAGTTAAAGTGTTTGGGAAAAGAATAGAAAACTAAAATTGTAAGTAAAAGAAGAGAAGTTTTTACAGTGAATCTCGATTGCAATATTAATTTTTTTTTCGATCGCTGGTTTGAAGCAATTCTAGTATTTTAAGAGTGCTCAATTGCTAAAAAAATTTCACAGTGGGCACAATTAAAGCAAACTTACAAGCAATGCTTATAAAACAGTCTCGTTGTTTTGAAAATTTATTTGCTCCATGAACACCTACAAAATGAAAACTTTACAACTTGGGTTATGTGAAATTTTAAAAAAAATTTTGGTTTGCGGCTTGGATCATTCGACATTGCTGGTTTTATGTTGTTTTATTTGAAAAATGGATGCTACGGTGTATGCCATCAACTGATTTTGGAGCTACCAATTAAATTTATAATCCTATTATAATTGAATTTTACATAATGTACTCATAAAGATTTTGCAGTGATTATTTTGGTTCTATAAAATATTGATAAAAAAAGGTTTTAATACACACTGAGAACAAAGTTTATAATATGAAAAAGTTGCCATACTTATTTTGTTTGTTTGAAAACAACTCACAAAGGAGTCATTTCTCATTATACGTCATCAAAGGGACGTAAGATATCATTATGACATTGCTCTTTAAATAAATTTCAAAAAAAAAAAATTTTTTTTTTTTTGTATTAAAAAAAACTTTCTATTATTTTTAGCAATTTTTTTATTTTTTTCTTTTTTATCATTGTTGTTATTATCCTTGACTCTTGTTACAATTAACACATACATTTAATGTACATCCTGTCCTTTGTATAATTAAATACTGTTTCTAATATGATTTCACATAATATAAAAGTCCTTTAATGTATATATACATTGGACATAATATAAATATGTGTGTGAATATTTCCTGTTATATAATGTACAAGCATATTATTTTGTCTGCATGTACACATACGACATCAATGTAATAACTTGTTCAATTTAACAATATTTTATTTTAGTAACCGAGTAATTCACTTTATTTAGTTGTTGGGCATATATAGTAAATGAGTTCTTAAATTAAATTCTCTTTTGTTATCATAACTATATTTTTGCCTTATAATTATCTCTGATAATATGGTATACATTCCCATATAAAATTTTCTTTAACATTCTATAGTTCTGTACAATTTTCTAATTTCATGACTATATGTAAACTTATTTTAGGAATTATTTAAAAGGTTTTTAACACTTTGTTTTCCAGTTCATTTAGCTAATAATATTGCAAGTTTAATTTATACTTATCTGAAATAGGAATTATAGAAATAAATAGAATGTTTGCCGTTATCATATTAGGGGGAACAGAGTTAAGTGTTCTAGTTTAGTTATTGAATGCAGGAATACATTTTCATTGCATCTACTTTACTTACATTCGGTACATTGCCAAAATTTTCTTGGCATAAAGATGCAAAGTCGTATACGAAACATATTGGTCACTAGTACACAATAGAATGAATTGTCGACCCATTCTGTTTATTATGCCTTGTTATTAGCAAATAATCATCTGCTATTCAAAGTGTTAAAATGACAAATTTTTACAAGGAAAAATTATTCGCCAAAAAAAATTGGAAAGTATAAAATAGTTAGTTTTTTGTTATATGTATTTTAAATATTGTTAACCACACTATTACGTGCGGCTATGCTGAGCTACTATCCTTCTTTAGAATGAATTTAACTGTGTTGTTGTATACGCGTTATATCGTGTAGAATACGGTATAGAATCACATTTTTTATAGATATATGAATTTATCTCTCAAAATGCAATTTAGAAGTATAAAACAAAATATGAATTTTAATTTTTATAAATGGCTATAATGCCTGCATTAACGAACATTGAAACAGAACTAATTTAAATTAAGTTTTAATGATAGAAAATAAATTGCTATAAAATGAAGTTTTGTACTTGATATTCGTAATATTTGTAGGGGAACAAAATTGTTAGAAATATAAAAAAGGTTATTTTTATAAAATTCTATTGAAAAATTTTTAGTCAGTTTGTAAGTATTTCCATTTTATACGAGAGTGATTTAAATTTTACGGCTAAATTTATAACAAAAATAGTCTTTTTAATTAGACTCATACTCTGGAATTGAAAATTATTAAACAATGTAAAAAATCATAGTAAAATCACCTCTGACCAATTAATTTCACTATTGAGCCTCTTTTTTCGAGAAAAAGTGTTGCCGATTATTTTCGCAAAGTTCACAGCGAATTCACCCCCAAATCCAAGTAGAAAACAAACATTACTTTAATGAGTTTAATGTTCTATTCTAAGTAGTGTTATAATTAGAAATTTAACAAAATTGGGGAATTACTAATAATTTCAATAGAGCCTTTCATGAGCAATTAATTTTAAAGGAAGCCAAATATTTTATTAGAACAATAAAATAAACTTATTAATTTTGTCAACTAAAAGCGTATATTACTTATAATATATTTTCGTCAACAAGGATATTATTTTGGGAAATCATATTAAAGTAAACAAAAAAAATTTTTTTTGAAATACAAGACGACACACTTGATATAGATGTATAAGGTATACTTATATAGCATTTCTCTTCATAATATGAATTGAGAATTCACTGAGGTCATCATACAAAAATAATAATAGAAAATTATTTCCCGTAGGAATTTTATATTTTAATAACACACATACATATACGCCTGCACTGTTACAAAATTTTTTTAATTTTAATTTAGTAGGAATAAACAATATCATTTAATAATATACTTATATTTTATTTTTTTCTTTATGAATGTGTAAAAATTTTTGATTAGGAAATGATTATTTCCGGTTTTTCATATTATCAAAATTTTATTAAATTTTGCAAAATAAATATTGAATATAATTTATGTATATAATGAGTTAAATGTAGGTGTTTATTAATCCATGCACATATAAATGGGTCTCAATGATATCCTGAAAGATTCTGGACAAGATTCATTGCAAAAAGATCTTTATAAGTACTCGTATAGGTAAGCATAAATATATAAGGGTAGGAATAAAAAAATATTATTATACTTACTGTAGAACAAAAAATGTTGGATTTCGTTTTAATAAGTATCAAAAATTAGTCATAATTGAGAGCTCATAATTGTTACTTTTATACTATGACAATAGATATATGAATGTAATCAGAATATTGAACGTATTTACTTAAGGTTTTATAGCAAGGAACATGAAAAGTGTGTTAGTTGTGGTCAAATATGTAAGTTGTGTTTGTTGCTATAGTCCTTATTTAAATTAGGTTGATGTTGATCGATTTGCAATCCTTGAGCGTGCTTAGAGTTGTAGCTGACA